TGCAGGTGCGTCATTTTTAATAAAATTAAACCGTCATAAAATTTCTTTTTGCAAACATTTTTTTATCGACTTTTACCCAGTAAATCTTAAAACGTGATTAAAACGATTACGTAACCTAGAAGTCACACAGACGTTTATATTTCCGCCTAAAAAATGTAACGCCTGTTACGTAACGACAAACGTAAGTTTCGTTTTTGTTACGTTTCCAGTTTTTAATTTACAAAATAAAAATGCAGGTGTCTTTGGTATTAAAAAAATTAACAAAATTTCCTGTAATATAAAACTATTTTTTATACTAGTTTTATTACATTCTTTAATTTAGAATTTACTTTTAGTGATTGCTAAATTGTTCAATAGTTTTTTTTTATAAATGTAAAAAAATCGCACCTGGGGTTAGTTGAAACATGTAAGAATTATATACAGATTCCAGAAAAGATGATTTGTAATAATTCAGACGTCGCTTTGGTTGAAATGTAATGTTATTGCAAGATGTGGAAAGTTGATTTAATAGAAAAATTAATTACTTCAGAAACATGATAATTTTCTCAAGAATAAGCAAAAAATAATAAATAATCAGATTAAATTATCAAAAGTATTAATTAATACATTATAATGTCGATTTTATTTTGTCGTTAGTACTGAGGTAGATATACTTAAGTTGTAAACCTCACTTTCTTTATAAAATGTTTAATTCTGAAATAATAAACAAATAGTTGTGGATTTTTTTTTTGATTTAGTAGAGAAATAGTTTAAGATATATATTATAATATATTAATAATATATATAATATATTAATAATTATAATTAAAAAAAACTGTTACAACAAGCCTCTAATTTCCCAACGCATATTTAAAAGGCTATGAAAATATGTATATATTATTTATATATATATATATATATATATATTATTTATATTCCATTTAAAAAAATAATTATTGTTCTATTTATTTAAGTTCACTCGAATTTTTTGTTAAAAATAGCAGTATGTACTAAATACTATATAGTATTGTTTTAAAATTAAAAATTATATTATCTAAGTAAAAATGTTTTGTAAAAAGCAACCCATGCGTGCATTCGTGTACGCATAAAATTAAATTTAATAATAATATAATAATATGCGTAAATTTATTTATATACAAGAATATTAAAGAATTAATTAATAAATTCAATATAGACAAGAACCTAATAAATAAATTATATTTGATTAGTGAATAAAAAACGAGGATATGTAAATGAATTATGTGCTTATTTACTTTGAAGTGAAAATGCTGTAGAAAAGAAATGAGCTATGAATATAGATAATAAAAATTGAAACATTAATAATGGATCATTTTATTTCATTTGTTTTATTTAGGGGCTACAATATATATATATATATATATATATATATATTATAATATATATATTGATTTTTCCTGAAATCCTTCACCAATTACAAAAAAAAACAATCATTTTGCTCATTACAATCTCTATATTATTTAGATAAAACTTGTATATAAATTGTTATATATCGTATATAAATCTAAACATTACATATGAAAACATTTATTAAAAGTATTATTATATTATACGAAAAGACATTGGCAGTATGATCACATATATATTAATTAACTATATAATTTTTAATAATTAATTAACTATATAATTTATTTATTAACTCTAAAAATATTGACACGTATTTTTGTATTCAAACATCATAAAGTACTCATAGCACCTTGAGAATAAAAACTAAATAAAAACTAAAATTATTTAATAGAATACTATGGACTTTATAATAAGTAGATAATTAACTGGGATAAATATATTGATTAATTAAAAAAAAATTAAATGAAAAAAAAAACGAGTCCGTGAATTTACCTAAATTTGTTTTATCATAATCATAATAATTCACAATTTGTGTAATATTAACATTATATTAGAGATGCTCTATAATTAACAACATAAATATATCAAATATTTATAAAATTTTACATGTGCTCTCAATGAAATATGTATCCGCACATACACCCATACACACAATTCATACTGAAACAAAGATATCTAAACATAGTCATTTAATTTTTTTGCAATTACTATAATGTAGTATAATATACTTTATGATGTTCGATTATAATTAGTACACATATATAAAAAGAACAGCCTTTTCATCAAACTTTCTATATATATAAAACGTTATCTAAATTACATTCTAGTAAAAATTTTCAGTACGGTCGGTTTTTAGAAATACATGGCTAGGCATCTATGAATTTGATATGAACTAGTCTTAAGATTATTTATTTAACTATCTAAATTAATTTATTTATTTTAAAATTTTACAAGTTTGGACAATCTTTGTTTAGTGAACAATTAAATAATTAGTATGTAAAAAACGTATAATAATTTTTCAAAATAAAATCATTTTTTGTAATAATTGGTCCTTGATAAATATGAAAAACTAAAGATTGCCCATCCATGTTCACAATATTTTTATATACTATAATACGCGATATGTCTACGACTATTTATTTTTTTCACAATGATATATCTTGAATAAAATTCACTCATAATTTTTTCTAATACTTATGATTTAAAACAAATCGTTTTTATTGATATAAGTCGGATGATTTTCATTATTACTATTAAAATTACATCATTTAGAAGTCCTAGTTTATAACATGATGATTTTTATGATTTATGTATATTTAAAACAAGAAGAAATAATTTATTTAATTTGATGAAAATTATTTAAAACACGTTATAAAGGTATGAAAACTTAAAGACGTTTTTATGTGTATATATATATATATATATATATATATATTAGGTGGTCCTTAATATGGACATTTTTGAATTTCTCTGCTCCCAAGGGCTCAAATGCTTCTAAATTAATAAAAAAAAATCTCTGAAAGTTTTAGCTCTTAATATTAATATTTAGATAGTCCGCAATTCAATTAAAAATTTCATATATTTTTTTCAACATATATTATTATGTAAATTCTTGCGCCATTTGTAATAGCATTTGTTAACTCAAATATTATTATTTTTAATTAATTTATAATTTGAGCCCTTGAGAGCAAAGAAATTCTAAAATGTCCATATTAAGGACCACCCTAATATATATGTATCTTCATATTAATAAATTTATTTTTGTAAGTTCCAAACTTAAAGAGCAGTAAGAAGATATTGAATTAAAATTTCTAAAACATACAACATCTACGACTTCTAGAACAAAAATAAATATTTATGAAAAATATTCAATATAAATAAATTTTCATCAAATTACACCTATACCTTGTTTTACGCGGTAAATACGTTCAGAAAAATCGTGTAATTCGAAAAATTCACTTTTATATGAAAAAACCGCTCTAAACAAAATCACTATAAAAAAGACCATTTAATAATTATATATTCATATTAATAATTAATTAACATCAAGCATTTCCAAAAATTATAAGAAAATTAATTTATTTCGAACCGATTTAAAAAAAAAAACTATTAAATATTGCATTTTCTTTATATATAAAAATTAAAATTGGTTTATACAGATATAAAATTTCTTTTACTCAATAGTTTTTTTCGATTTGTTTTCATCAAACTATGATATTTTTATAATTTAAAGATCTTGTAAAAAATGATTTTTTAATTTATTCACACTGAATAAATTTGCACTATCAATTCTATATAAACACTAATTAAAAACAAATGATGCTTTTTGTTTTGATATTTCATACAAACTAGCTTATGCACACAAAAAATTTAGTTTTGGTCATAAAAAGGGGATTTTCCGCCTTATCTACATATTGTCATCATAGACTCATAGAATTAATTTTTTTTATAAATTAACGATTTTGTAAAAAATGATTCTGTTATTTGTTCATCTTGAATAAATTTACGCTATCAATTATATATAAACACTAAGTAATTAAAAACAAATGATGCTTTTGTTTTGATATTTCAAACAAACTAGCTTATGCACACAAGAAATGTAGTTTTGGTCATGAAACGGGGATTTTCCGTTTTACCTACATAGACTCATAGAATTAAAAAAAAATATAAATTAAATATTTTGTAAAAAATGATTCTGTTATTTGTTCACATTGAATAAATTTACGCTATCAATTTTATATAAGCACAAATTAAAAACAAATGATGCTCTTTGTTTTGATATTTCAAACAAACTAGCTTATGCACACAAAAAATGTAGTTTTGGTCATGAAACGGGGATTTCCGGTCTATATTATCTACATATTACCATCACAGACATAGACTACTAAGAAATCGTAACTGTAACATGCATTTTGTAGTGTTCTATTTTGACAGAAAAACCATGAAAATTTTATTGTAAATATAAGCAACCAGTGGCGTCGGAACCGTGTGGGCTGTTTGGGCTTGAGCCCACCCATGAATTTCAAAAAATGAAATGCCCTAGTATGTATTTCTAAAAATAAACGAAGCCACTGGCTGTGTATCAGAAAAACAAGCCATCCATCGAAAATTTGCTTCTGACGCCACTGTAAGCAACATATGAATAGAATCGTGTGGTTGTGTGGGCTTGAGTCCACCCATGAATTTTGATAGGTCTCAAAAATTTCAAAAAATGAAATGCCCTAGTATGTATTTCTAAAAAAAAACGAAGCCACTGGCTGTGTATCAGAAAAAACAAGCCCATCCATCAAAAATTTGCTTCCGACGCCACTGTAAGCAACAATAGTTTAGTGTTTATAATTTCGTGTAAATGCAAAATTAATAAACTTAGTTTTAAAAAAAGTTATTTTCAGAAGCCGTGTAAGAACGAAAACGTGTAAATCGAGTAGTGTGTAAAACGGGGTATAGGTGTATATTGAATTAAAAATTCTAAAACATCTACGAGTTCTAGAACAAAATAAATATTTATCAAAAATATGCAATATCAACAAATTAGTTTAAACTAAATTTAAAACGTTCTGTTTACAAATGACTACTACATTTACTCTACTGAAATTTCCCAACAACCTGCTTAACCCACCCATCCGAAAACTTACCTTTACTCGGCGAATCACAATCGTTATTCACAGGCGATTCACTATTATTCACAGGCGATTCACTATTATTCACCGGTGAATCATTACTATTCAAAGAATCAGATTTTGCATCAACATCATCAGTTTTGTTATAAGGGTTATTATCATCGCTATAAATCGCGCTATCGCGAAAGAAATCGCTTTCTAGCGAGTACTCTACAGATTTTTCATAAAAATCATTGTTTATTGCACAGCTTTGTGCAACATGACTAGGAGAAGATAGTTGAGTAGATGAATCGCAATTTTGTGTAGTTTTTGATTTTTGGAATAATATTGTTGGATCGGCGTAGTCTAAATTTGCGAAGCGTTCGCCTATGCGTAGTAAAAGACTCTTGGAGTTATTTGCTGCTTCTTTATTTTTAACCAATGAGTTCTTTTACTAACTGGAGGTGGGTCTTCGACTTCAGTAGGTTGTTGCAGTTTTTCTAAATACAACTCCTGCAATTCTGTAGTGACCCGTTTGAAATCATTTTTACTTTTTCGATCTCCGTTTTAATTCGTCGAGTACCACATACTCACTTTCATCCTCATCGCAATTTGTTTTAAGGTTTCGTAAATGTGGTCCTCGTCGTCGTTGTTAGATATACTTGGAAGACACTATATAACTACCTTCGTCTAAATTTTTAGAATTCCGACTTTCATCGGTCGATTCGGTGATGTGCAAATCATTTACACGTACCCCCATCAAGGTCTGTGTAAAACTTAGAACCTTGATGCTTTCATACTTTTAGTCGCGACCGTTTGATTTTCGTTATTTTCTTGGGCAAAGTCTTTGTATTATACTGTTTGATCTCAAACGACTTATAGGCGGCCTGGGAATCCTAGGAACAGAATCCGTAATTGTTGTTTCATAAAATTCCGAAGGTATACCTGGTTCTGATCTACACCTTGCAGCCTCCGGCTTCTGTGCAGTATCAGGTTTTAATTTACTCTCATAATCCATATTAACGTATTCGTTAGAATAACACTTTTTATCCATGTTAGAAGAATCTTTGCTACCGTCTTCTTCCAAATACCAACTACTGTACCTTTTCTCACCAGGTTACCCTCAGGTGATGCTACAGGTTGATCGTTGCTCAGGTTCGTCGGTATAATAAATTTCCTGTTTTTGTTCAAACGACGCATAGACATTTCGGTACGGCGTCTTTCGTGTCTTCTTTGTAAATAATCAGGAGTCGAATCGGGTTTGACACCAGGCAAAGCAACTGGTGAAACAATATATCCAGATTAGTATATGTATCATTTAAAATAGTTTTAACAAACGCTTACCCAAGCTTTCTTCGGCATCGATACCCAAAACCAAGTCTTTTGCCCTTGTAGGAATCTTCCCATTAAATTGTTCCAACATCAAGCGTTTTAATTGTAGGCCCCATTGTTTCTTTTGTTGTACCGAACGTGCCTACAAAAAAGGTAATTGATATATTTATTTAACGCAAAAATGAAAAATTGCCACTAGTTAACTTCCCGAAGGAGAAGTTTATGTTTTCATCAAAAAATCCGATTCGCTAATTTTATGTTTTCTCGACGTTTCAAGCCATTCTGAATCGAATGAGACCAAATTTGGAAAAAGTATGCGTGTGTGTGTGTGTGTGTATGTGAACAGATTTTTTGCCGTAAATCGACGTTTTTTCGAAAACGGCTGGGCCGATTTCAAAAATTTAAAAGCCATTCGATATATCTCGACGAGAACTATTGTTTGTCAGTTTTGTGCGACGATCGGCCAAGCCCTTTCTTCGTAAATAGCAGAGAAGTGAAAAGTTTTTCGTCTACGTTTTAGCCCGCAATTCTGAATCGATTTTGAAAATTCAAAAACCGTTCGAAAGATATTGATTGGGAATCGTGCTGATTATTTTTTGGTAGAGATCGGCCGGGCCGTTTTCTTGTAATAAAATTAAAAAAAAAAATCGACGATTTTTATGATTATTTTTTTGACGGTAGATACCATAGTCTTCTAGATCATACTAAAATATTACGGCCCTACGACAACTGGTTCAGCTTTAAAAATTCGTCAAAGTTTGCAAAAATTGGTATCGTTTTTTTGGCATTTGCCAAAATTAGACCTTTGATCGACGTTTTCTCAAAAACGCCTGAACCGATTTCAGAAATTTAAAAGCCATTTGATGTATCTCAATGAGGACTATCGTTTGTCAGTTTTGTGAGACGATCTGCCGAGCCGTTTCTTTGCAATTTCAAAAAAGTGTTAAACTTTTCGTCGACATTTAAGCTCAAACTACCGAATCGATTTTAAAAAATCAAAAAGTGTTCGAAAGATATTAGTTAAGAATGATACTGATTAGTTTTAGGTGAAAATCTACCGAGCCTTTTTCTTGTAATTAACTGTTGAAAAAAAGTGTTAAATTTTCGTCGACATTTAAGCTCATCCTACCGAACCGATTTTAAAAAATCAAAAACTGTTCGAAAGATATTAGTTGGGAATGGTACTGATTAATTTTAGGTAAAGATCTATTGAGCCGTTTTCTTGTAATTAACTGTTGAAAAAAAAAATTAAGGCGATTTTCATGAAATTTTTTTTGGCGATATACATCATGGTCTTATAGAACTTACTGTAATATTACGGCCTTTCGACAAGTAGTTTAATTTTAAAAATTCGTCAAAGTTTGCTAAAATTATTATCGTTTTTTTTAAAAGTAGGATTGATGAAGTATATTATTTACACTTTTTTTTTTGATTAAGTCGATTATTTACACATATCAGGAAGTTCATGTAACTTGCCTCAAGGCTAAATACCAAACCAACTAGTTTTATTATGAATTAACATTATACATACTTGTAAAGTGATTTGGTTCCTTGGATTATCATATGGTATCACATGAAAACTTGTCGGTTCACCTTGAATTACTTCTACTAACATCAGATTAGAACACTAAAAATAATATATTTATAAACATAAAATTATATATATATTATATATATATATATATATACATCATGTGAATATTTGTGTACTCACCATGATATGACTTTTGTATGCTAATCTACCATCCTCTTTACGTTTTGTGATGAGTAACATCTTTTCAAATAAAAACACTTGTCGACTTTTGTGATTTCTTTCTTGCAAAGTGCCTTCAAGACATAATTCGCCCAAAACAGTCAGACTTGGTCCCAGCCAGCCGTCTAAACTACCTTCTAACTCCTTAAAAAAATACAGTGGTCAATAAATTTATATTTTGATATTATTATTTGTAATTTTTCACTCACTTGAACTCGTGATTGTTGTTCTAAATGCCTTTTAACTTCATCAATGTGATGTGCAACATCAGTCATAAGTTTAGAAGCCTTTTCTATGTGAATATTTTCATAATGTTTGTACAAATTCTGAAAAACAATATTTTGTATAAAAGTCCTGTAATAAAATTCAAAATTCTTATAGTTTACCTGCAAAAGTAAGTGATATTTCATAATCCTTTGCACAGGTTTTAACAAAAAAGATCCCAAAGGCAAATTATGACCTAAAGAACTTTGGGTATTCCTTAGTAAACTTGCAGTATCCATAGATTGGAGTAATTCTGTTAATAATGCTATGGCTTGTGGATAATTCGTGCTGAAAATAAAAAATATATTGCATTTCATATCATATAATATTTATCATTATCAATCTTACCAGTATTTGGTGTATACTTCAAAACCATCATTGCTATCTATAAAACATTTTGCTATTTTAACAGGATCGTTTTCAGTCATTTTAATTTCAATAACAAATCACTGTAAAAAAATTATATATATTAAAATTTTATTATGGAGTTTTAATTAATATTTGTACATACCTGTTGAATTTATATATTTCAAGTATATTACAAAATAAAGTATCTAACTTTTCAGTATCTAATAATGACTGTTCTTTCCATGAATTCAAATAGCCCTAAAATTATAAAAATTATTTATATATATATATATATATATATATATATATATACAAAATATAAATATTATTACCTCAATAACTTGCTTTAGATCACCTACATAAGTTTTTTCTGTATTAATAACTTAAAACAAACTCTTTCACCAACAGTAAGAGTTGATCGATTTTCATCTGCAATTAAATTTATGCTCATTAATTTCTACAATTTATTTATATATATTTATTTATTATTACACATTCGATCTTGATCACTGTGATCAGCTAAACTTTCAATAGAAGCCAAATATTGTGAACCGCCTCGATTATTATTTGTACTAGTACTGCTACTGCTTGAATCAGTAGAACAAGTTGATAAAGGTCTAACAAAGCGTAAGCCTGTTGGATTTGACTCTTGTCTGCAAAAATAAATACAAAATAAACTCAACAAATTAATTTATTTTATGTAGAAATAAATTTTTATGTACCTGCAAACGGGTGAATTGTTCTGACTATTACTACAATCTGATATTGTTGAAGTTAAACTGATATCAGCTACTGATGTTGTCTCAGAAATACTTTCCATATCATTATCAGCCATATTTTGATGTAGTGTAAATAAATGACTTTTAACTACAAAATTAGAAAAAATTAGAGGTTAAGAAAAATCATTACATGTAATACAATGTATGTGCAAATTATATACCACTAGTTGTATCTTCTAAATTATCTGTATGTGATTCTGTGTGTATTTGTAAATCATTACTGCTTTGTGATATTTTACTTACTACACCGGACAAAGGAAAGTTGTGATGACTTTTAGCTTTTCTTACAGGTAACTTACTTTTATCATAAACTGTGATTGATTTTCTGTGGTGATGGCTGTAAGTAAATGATAATTAACATATAATATATTTAATATGTATAACGTAAGTAAATATTGATTTACTGGGTCTGATATGCAATCGGAGTGTGCCAAAATTCTTTGAACATTTGGTGATAAAACATTAAGATTCTTGAATGGTTTTCTTGCAGGTGTAGGTATGTTGCACAATTTTAATATGGATCCTTTTATTTCTACAGAACTACCTATTTTAATAAAATTTAATTAGAATTTTATATTTAAATATGTATGTGTATATGATAATAAATACAATGCATTTATTTGACAGGTATATAATAAATAAAACATAATAAGTAAAAACGTATCAACCAAAAAACAACGAGAACTAATTAATTAAAAGCAACACATAACTAAAGCAGCAACCAAATCAAGCACAAGTGAAGGGCTTTTATCTGAAGGACTTCTCTCATTTACCAGCTGCTAAGATCTTTTTCGTTGCTTTTTACGATCCTAGGGCAATCTTACTATTTTAAAACAATTAATCAATGTTTATCTGGGAAATAAATAATTACAAAAAATTACCAAAGAAATCCTCCCAAGTTTCAGAATCATCATTTGAATATCCAGTATCCATCTTTAATATCATTCTACATCACACTATATTTCTTATCTTAAGTAGTTTGTATAAAATTTTATATTATATATTTACATTTGATATTATCTTATTTTGATAATTTTGTCATTATTTTGACATTTTATGATAACAAGGCGTGTTCAATTATGACAAATGACATTTAAGGAGAATCGTAGAGAAAATAGATAGGTGGGATAAGACAGGAAACAAAAATATAAAAAGAATGATTCAAACGCCTTTTATCCATAAATAATTGTTTATTATATTAAATATTATTTGTATTATATATTTATTTTGTATAAATTTGGTATATATTCAAATACAAATGTTTTAAACTTTTATTTTATCCAGTTTGAATATTTAACCAATGACCTTTGCGCAATTTTTTTCCAGAGTTAATCAACGTGGCTGCACTGAAAATTTATAAATCAACTTACTTCATCTTGTTGTATTCACGAGTGCGGTGTGTAGAAAAGCATTTTGTTTCAATTAAATGTTCTAGAATATCAATTTAGAAAGCAAAATGGTAAGTTTATTTACAGTATTTTAGTGAAACTAATGCTACTTTAAATAATACGATTTGTGTTGCACATAACCATGTGATACTAAAATATATTTAGATCATTCTGGAAGACAGCAACCTCCCAAAAAATCGCATGATAGATCTTGCACATGTCGAGTTTTTGCGTAATTTACAGATTATTCAATAAATTGTTTGTACTAAACACATTTTCAAGCTTTATCAAGTGAAACCGATACTATAATACACTAATTAATGTCACGCCGACATTTTTTGTGTTCCATTTATCCTAACCAAAATGTTGTGCAAAACGAGTGACAATGAGTTCTTATATCTTAGGTATCCCTTAATCCAGTGAGAATCTTGAAAAATGAGGCTGCTGAAGAGAAAAAGCAGAAATTGCTCGCTTATCCAGTTTTATTGGAGCAATTGCAATCGGAGACTTGGTTAAGAGTACCTTGGGACCTAAGGGTATGGATAAAATACTAGTTGCTCATGGAAGGAATTCCGGACAAGTAAGTTATAGTTCAAAAAAAAGTACATAGATATCTTGGTATCTGATATATGATTCATATAATTTAGTGAAGTCACTACGATGGGGCACAAATCTTAAACTGTAGGAGTTGATAATCTGCCGCCAAATCTTAGTGATGTCTAGGTACAAGATAATGAGTGGGCGATGGCACTACTTCAGTTACAGTATGGTAATAGAACATTATTAAATATATATATATATATCATATATATATTATATATATATATGTATATAGATATATAATATATATATCTATATCTATTATATGATATTATCTAATGAAATAGATATAGTCAAATGAAATGTATATATTATATGAGAACGTTTTTCATAATCTCTCTACCAGCACCTCTGCCTGACTGAGACTTGAAAATAAAATATATATATATATATATATATATTATTTTGGATTGCCTGTTATCATATATTTTATTTTTAGCATCTGAATTGCTTCGTGAAGCTGAAAAACTCATTGAACAGAAAATTCATCCCCAAATTATCATCTCTGGATGGCGTAGTGCTGTGGAAGTAGCCCGCAAAGCTTTAGTTTAGAAGATGCTGCTTCAGATAATTCTACAAATGAAGCTTTGTTCAAAGAAGATCTGTTAAATATTGCCCGCACAACTTTGAGCTCAAAGATCTTGTGCCAGCATAAGGAGTAATTATTTAGAAATAAATGATGGTAATAAATGAATGTAATGTTATTGATGATGCATGATATTTTTAGGTATTTTTCAAAACTGGCTGTAGATGCTATATTACGTCTCAAAGGCTCTGGTGATTTAGCTGCTATTCAAATAATTAAGAAAAAGGGAGGTTGTTTAGAAGACTCATTTTTAGATGAAGGATTTTTGTTGGACAAAAAGGTTTGTATTTGTATTAAAAAAAATTCTGTTGACTTTATAATATTTTTTTTATTATTTTAGGTGGGTCAACATCAACCCAAACGCATTGAAAATGCAAAAATCCTCATTGCCAATACTCCTATGGACACAGATAAAATAAAAGTATTCGGGTCTGCAATTAAAGTAGATTCAATGGCCAAGATTGCAGATTTGGAAATGGCAGAAAAGGAAAAAATGAAAAACAAGTGGAGAAGATTCTTAAACATAATGCAAATGTGTTCATCAATAGACAATTGATCTACAATTATCCTGAGCAATTGTTTGCTGATGCCGGAGTTATGGCTATTGAGCATGCTGATTTTGATGGTATTGAAAGATTGGCTCTTGTTACGGTGGTGAAATCGTGTATCTACTTTTGACCAGCCTGGGCTTGTTAAATTGGGTACATGCAAGCTTATTGAACAGGTATAAATAAATAAGAATTCATATAATAATTTAAAGATCCATTCTCAATTTGTAATTTTTTCAGGTTATGATTGGTGAAGACAGTTTACTCCGGTTCAGTGGTGTTCCATTGGGAGAAGCTTGTACTGTAGTTATTCGTGGTGCTACTCAGCAAATCATTGATGAAGCTGAAAGATCTCTTCACGATGCTTTGTGTGTGCTTGCTGCTACTGTCAAAGAATCCAGGACAGTTTATGGAGGAGGTAAAAAGATTAAAGATAGTTTTTGTATCATTGGATTCATTATATCTATATATTTATTATTTCATAGGTTGTAGTGAGATGCTGATGGCCTGTGCTGTTATGCAAGCTGCAGCTCGAACTCCTGGTAAAGAAGCTGTTGCAATGGAGGCTTTTGCAAGAGCTTTGCAGCAACTCCCCACGACAATTGCTGATAATGCAGGATATGATAGTGCACAATTAGTGTCTGAATTAAGAGCAGCCCATTGCCAAGGAGATTCCTCCACTGGATTGAGTAAGTAATTAATACATGTTATATATAAATGTGTATATATGATTGTAAATTTAATATAAATCTTGATTTCCAGATATGGACTTGGGTAAATTAGGCTGCATGAAGGCTTTAGGCATCACAGAATCCTATGTTGTAAAACGTCAAGTTTTGCTATCAGCTGCTGAAGCTGCAGAGATGATTCTGAGAGTTGACAATATTATGAAGGCTGCACCAAGGAAACGTGTTCCTGACCGTGGACACTGTTAGATTCTAGATTTAGTTTTTTTGGAGCTGATTTTGGATCCTACTGCGCACTTTTAAATCATCTGAAGTATTTAAATCAATCATTTCACATCAAGCTTAATTTGTTATATAGTATTGATTCTATGTATGCATTCTGTTGAGATTTTTTATATAAGAATTATAAAGTAACATGCTGTAATTGTTGAGAAGTTTTTTGTTTCAGAATTCAATTTGATTTTTCAGGCTTTAAGTGTTGTTTACTCAGCACATTTAAGGAGATGCATAATGCATATGCATAATATAAATATATATATATATATATATATATATAAATAAATTAGAAAAATCTGGTTATAATTAAACAGTTTTAGAATGTTTGAATTCCAAAGTCGTTTCAAAACTGTCAACTGCCCATATTTACCATCTATATATAATTCGTATTGATATTCTATGACTTGGCTTAGTTCAACGTTTCGTCAACAGAAGCGAATTTTACTTCAATTTAACCAAAATTGATTTTTACTAATAATTAATTCAAATTTATTTCACGTACCATTTCCACTAAAGTGCCATACGAATAGTTCCTAAAGCTCTTTCCAAACAATGTTATCATTAAATACATATCAATATAAAAAACTTGATCTGCAACGTACTTTGTCATAACCCTAAACATCGATTTAATTCATATAATAAAGTTGCAACAAATCAGTAAGGTGTTATTAGTGTGTTTTAATCTGTGGAAGTCAACAAGACTTCAATAAAAACACTAAAATGTGCACGTAAATGTTATTTTCTAAGTTAACCTAAAATTTGAAATGTCATTTACGGGGCGCCCCCCCATGGGGCCGAATATGGCATATATGCCCCCAAATATGATGCCACCCATGCCGGTCATGCAGATGCCACCTCATGTAAATATAATAAATATATACATTTTATAATATCTGGAATCAACTTTTGTGTAGTTAGAATAGTTTCTGTTTAGTTCCAAGTCTGTTGTCTCATAAAATATTTCATTAATACAAAGTATTAATCATATAGTTTATTAGGCAATTGCAAAAAGAAATATATTTATGAAAGCATATAATAAGATGTTGCAAAATCTGTATCTAATATACAAAAAAGCATTATTTTTACAATATTAAAGTTTAAATTCTTGTCGATTTAAGTATGGCTTTATGTATAACTAATAACATGCATAACCTGTAAGCAAAATAATATTACATATCTGTAATCAATTTTTTTTTAATTAAATCTTTTCCTAGTCACAGACATCAATTTCTCTTATAGGTAATGCCCGGAGGTATGCCAATGAGGCCATTTTGTCCACCGGGACCTCCACCTATGAGACCGCCTTTCAACAAACCGCCTCCACAAATATCAGCACCTCCTCAACCTGCACAGGCACCTGCACCGACTGGTACAAGCGATGGACCAGCAGTCACCGTCTTTGTTGGTCAGTAGTAAAAGAAATCTAAACCTCATTTCTTTAAGTTCTGTGTAATTCAACTTAAAATTTATTAATAATTATCCAATTATTAATAAAAAAATTAATATTGACTACTTAATTACATTTATATTTGCTAAAATAGTATATTTACATCAATTTTTTTTTTCAAAGGCAATATAACAGAAAAGGCTCCTGATACCATGATCAGGCAGATTCTTTCAGCTTGTGGTCCAGTTGTTTCTTGGAAACGGGTTTCTGCATTTGGATTTTGTGAATTTAGGTGTGTATTGTAATGATTTATTAATAAGACAAAAATGTCTAGGTTATTAAATTACGAAATTCATTCCAGTTGTCCAGAAGCTGGTTTAAGAGCAGTACGTTTGCTACATGATTTAGAGATTGGAGGGAAAAAACTGGTTGCTAAAGTTGATGCAAAAACTAAAATAGTATTAGATGAATATAAAGGTAAATACATTTATATATGATATATATATATATATATATATATATAATTTAATTTCTTTTAATTAAATTTTCAAATTGTTATATTTTTAATTCTAAAACTTTTCCTTATATTGTAAAGACTTTGATTGAATTATACCATATTTTTGTATGTATAAAACTTCCAGTTTGATTGTAATAACAGAGTATGGACAAATGAATATTGTTATTATGAATTATATAATTCATTATTATACAAGTAGACTTTAGGGTTTATTGTGTTTATAATATCTCATTGTCTGTACCATTCAAACAACACACCCTACACTCCTAAAATAAAGTATTCTTTTTTTTATTCTCTGGAAATTGCTTAGAAATACCTTACTTAGCAAAACAACGTTTGGCGGGTCAGCTAGTATATATATATTATATATATATATATATATATACATATATAAAAAAATTTATAATAATCTAATTTTTTTCAGCTGAAGAAAGAAAGAAATTGAAACCAGATGATTCATCTCCAACCCAAGATGAAGTTGAGTGTGATTCAGAATATATGAATGACAACGCTCGTGATTCAGATAAAACTGCTATGATAAAAATCAAAGCAACAATTTCTGAATATGAAAATGATATTAATAATTTCGATGCTATCAGGAAGGTATGACCTTTAACATAGGTTTTAAATTCACTTTAGATTTTGTGCACATAGTGCAGACTAGGGAATGCAATACCGATGAAAAATTTCAATACCGGTATTTTGGTAATTTTCATTTTTAAAACCGGAATAACAGTAAATTACCGGTATTTTTATTATCTTAACAAACGTAAACAAAATTGAAAGTTACTAGTACAAATATAAAAAAATGTATATACAACTACAACTATATTCAACTAAACAATAAAAACAATAAGTTTATTTTTTTAAATAATAATTTAACAGAATTATATCCAATTTAATTAATTCATTATCACTATCGAGTATATTGAGTACTTTTCACAAAAATAAACTTATGAGTAAGAAAGACCAAAAACTCATAAAAGATTAAATTACAATATTATAATAAACTGTATTGTCTGTTTCCGATGTGTTACATTAGCATTATCTCTAATATTTTAAAAAAATAATTTTTCTATATTAATTTAAGATCGGATACTTTGTCGAGATAAATAATAAGTTACTATAACTGTTGAGTATTGTTATTTAAAACAATGTGATGCTTCTATAGTATTTTCAAACTTCAAAAAGTGTTCGCAAAATAATATTTTATAATTGTAATAAGAAGCAAAAATATTTAGTAACTATCATAATTATTATGTATAAAGTAAGAAAAAAATAAAGATTACGCAGGGGTAATCTGTATGTATGATATAAAATATTTGGACGCACATATCACTTAAAAAAACCATTACATTTTTACATAAGATGAAAACAACACATTATCTATCAGTCCAATTCTATTTATTGTAAAAGATAGATATGTAAAGCAATAAGTATTCAATTTAATGACGAGTTGAGATAATATTTGACATTTGTTTATCCTATAGAATCACTTGAAGATATAGCTGTTTATGCGATTATGGAATTTAAAGATAAATTTGCTCCGAGAAATTAAAACTTTAGTGTATTATGTATTTTGGGGTTTAGTAAAAATACCGCCGAAAAATCGGGCGGTTTACTGGTAATTCGGCTTACTGGTAAACCGGTATTGCATTCCCTAATCCAGACTGTATTTCTTTTTGCAGAAGAACAAATTGAAAAGCGAAATAAGATTCTACAGGAAGCTGATATTGAAGAGGGCAAAAGAGATCTGATCACAAGAGAAATTGGTAAATTTCGTGAAATCATGAAA